TGGGGATATAGGAGGTGTGCGGTAATTCGGGGAAAGAATCGGGGGAGATTCCAAAGGTGGGTGGATCGGTTCCCTCGCCAGGTTCGTCACCTGGGTCTGGAGGGGAATCCGGGGAAGGTTCGGGAGGAGGATCGTCGGCGGAGGGGGCTACCCACGCCGAGGAAAGGGTGAACGGGAGACTCTCACCTGCAGTGTCGTTCGTCATGTCCCAGGGCGCAGCGTCCGGGCCATGGACACGACGGACCTCCGCCCTTAAATAGCGGTCGCGAAGGTCGTCCAGAGTACCATACAAATTTAAATGCGCGTGGTCCATCAATCTTATCAATTCTATAATTTGTAAATCGCCGATATGCGCCCGCATCTGGCGGGCCTCGACCGAATCCATACTCGCGGTTTCTGTAATGCTCTCCGCGGAGTGACGATAATAAAAAAAACGGGGGAGAAAACCAAAAAAAGTTTAAGGATCCTGAAAGAAAAGAGGGAATGCGATGGGAAGAAAACAAGCAATTCAATACAACAGTTTCCGGCTTTATTGCAAAATCGGGAAAACCCAGTATGCGATGGTCGATAATAAAAAAAAAGGGGGGAACTGAAAAAAAGAAAATCCAAAATCGATAGAGGCTCGATAGAGTGCTCACGGTCGGCAAAGGCACGACCGGGCCCTCGATATCGGCAAACCGCGAGCAATAACTTTTGAATTTGGGAGGGCACACAAAAGAAATATATTTTCGGCACAGATAGTAATTCGGTTTCGCAAATTTCAACAATAGGACGGTTAGGTCGAAAACGGCGCACGTCTCGGTTACGGAGTGTTTATTATTCTCTAGGACGCTCGAGGATCCGATTTCAAACACCACGCCGCGTTCGACCGTCGACACTTGAAAAAAAAACGGCAACAAGAGGCTCTCGGCAACGGTTATCTTCTGCGTCGTAATTTCGGGAATGTTCGGTCTTTAACGGCGGAATCACGAAGAAATTTTCTCAAACGCGAGAGTTTATGAACCTTTTATTATTTTATTATTTTCCTGGCCCCACGTTGGGCGCCAAATTTGTGACCCTCTTCGGGGGTTCACTCTATACGGAATTTCCTTTCGCCGACTTTACTCTACGATTCTCTCTCTTTGTCACAAACGTTGAGCGCCAGCCACTCGCTGTGGCGATTTGAATCAAAAAAAAAGGGGAAAAGGGGGGTGATTGGGGGTGTCTTACAGGGGATGGGTCTCGGGGCACTTACGTCCGTACAATACTTCGCGGGGGAGTACGCAAGGAGGATTAGTGTGGGAAGGGAAATCTCTAGGGTCGGGAGGGGTTCGCAGGAAAGTTCGTCTACGTTACGCGAATGAGGAAAACTTTGTGTTTGGAAAATAAAAGGGGGACTCGCCCCTATGTCGAACAATGCGCGGGCGGAGAAGGTAGCCGTTGCCTCGATCTCGCTAATACAATAATTACGATAAGGGACTCACCCAAAACTGCTCGCTCTCTCTCTTACAATCTCTCTATCGCTTTCCAAAATCTCCAGATCACTCTCAACGCTAGCCTCGGGCTCAATTGACGGTTCGCCGTCGCTGCTGCGACGACGAAACCGTCGCGGGATGGTTTTGGGGAGGGGATGGGACTAGGAAGGGGGCCTCTTCCGGCAACGGGATAGATCGATTATCGATCTTCGATACACCGGTGCTCGGGGTCGATGGGGCTGGCGGATATCCCGCGATGACGGGTGGGCTGAGGTCTTCGGGCTCGGCGACAGATGGCTCCGGGTGGACGTTTTGCATCAGTTGGGCAGCTTCGTCTATTTCTTCGGAGTCCCATGTTGCTCCGTTTCCTTGGAGGAAGGGTAGAGGTCTGTCGCCGGCCTCGTAGCTCCTTCTGCGGGTATTCCTTGTACGTCTTCCGTCGCCTCCATCGGCCCGCCACCGGTGAGCAGGGGGAAAGGGTTAGATGAGGGAAGGGTTACGGGTGGTTTTGGGGTGGAAGTGTAAAATGGGAAAAGCGCAGCGATTGTAACGGGGGGGCACGGGTGTCACCACGTTACAGAAGATAAATGAAGATAAATTATGTGAATTAATAAACGCGTTAAAATGACAATGGAAAATAGTGGAAATAATAAAATACGACGAATAAATACGACGAAAATATGCAACACCGGCTAATCGAATAATCGAATCGATTAATCGAATGTGTTAATAAATAATAAATAATTAAATAAATAATACAGCGGAATAACGCGCCAGTCAAACGCATGCAACCAGATAGTAAAATAAAGTAAATTAATATAAATTAATATAATAATACACACATAACGATGGAATATCGAAAAATATTGAAAAAATATCGATGCACTTTTACACAAATCACTTAATAAACCGACGCAATTAACGGAAAACAAAATAAAATCAGAATAAAATCAGAATAAAGGAATAAAAATAATACGTCACCAAACCGTTGACCTAATTTCCCATCGTCTGTCCTCTTCTATCCAAGGCCCGGGCCGCGCGTGCAGGTTGACTATCCTTGTCCAACCACAGCAGCCATCTTGAAAACCTGTCAATCCTGTCTGATCTTGCATGCGTTGTCTTCATTAATTTAATCACAAAAAGTCACAAAAAACGCGGAATTTTAATGCGAAACGTTCCCGATTAATCAAATTTATCCGTACATAATGTCTAATGTTCATAATTAATGCCACGAATACCGGGAACACACGTGGAAATGCCGCGTAACACGCACATCACATTTTCGTTATTTAACAACAAATTAACACATTATTTAATCACAAAACACAACAATAGCACTCCCGAACACTTAATAAACACTATTTAACAAAAAACGCGAATAAATAAGCCGCTTTTCACCGCGTTGCAAAACTAACCACGGAGCGACCACGAAACACGTCCGCTCTCCTCGACGCGTCGAGCGGAAATCCACCCTAACCTAACCCTAACCCTAACCCTTTTTTTTTTTTTTTTTTTTTTAACGAGGAGGGAAAATGCTTTGCGCACGCCGGACAGGTGTGCGTCCGGTAGTGTGGGACTCCAAGGTACTCACCTTGTGTACCCACTAAAAACCCTACCTCGATTTCGCAATAAAGGAGCCTGTGGTGTTGTATCGCACCCTAACCCCGGAACTGCAATAAGCATATCTTCAGGGAGGGATCACCAAGTCAGGCCGTCGCCTACAATGGGGGTACACCCCGGTTACTTATCCTGTGTCTGTAATTTACCATAATTAGTATTACGTCATTACCAGTTGAGTTTTCTTCTTCTTCTTTTTACTCCGGTTGAACGTTTCCAGGACATATCTTTCATGGTTTATTTTACCCTTCAGCACTTTGCCTATATATTGCAGTACATGAGACCTGTAGCCTGGGTTTTTAATCGTTGCAATAAAATTATTGATACTGAGATCCTCTTCTAATTGTATATTCAATTGAAGCCTTTCCGCGGCCCAGCGATCACAGTCAAAAATTGTATGTTCAGGGTCGTCCGTTTTTCCAGGGCAAAACCAACAATTTGCAGATTCCTGTTTATGAATCTTTTTCAGAAACGTGCCGAAACACCCATGACCCGTAAGGACTTGGGTTAGATAATAATCCAGCAGTCCTGGGTCCCAGGTATACCAATCTCTTATCTTAGGGATCAACCTGTGGGTCCACCTACCCTTCAGGGAGGAATCCCACTTCTCCTGCCACTTTTCCACGGTGTTTTTCCTTTCCTCTTCTTTATCCTCTTCGTTTAAAGCCCTTTTCGGATTGTTGTTTCTTCTTTCGAAGAGCCTCATCCTCTCAGCCACAAGTAGGTCTAACGGGATATGGCCCGTAATAACACATAGAGCATCTGCAGAAACGGTGCAGTATGCTCTGGCCACCCTCAATAATGCAGTACGTTGAGTTCCATTTATTAAATCCACGTTGCCTTTCAATACCAGACTGTTACCCCAAATAGGTGCAGCATACATAACGACCGACTCCACAACACTGTAGTATAACTTCCGTGGAAGGTTGCCTGCACCACACGTATTAGGCATCAACAGGGATAGTACACTAGCATATTTCAGTGCTCTATTGCAGCTATTGATGATATGGCTTCTAAAACCCCGTCTCTTTCCAAGAATCAGCCCGAGGTATCTCGCCTCCCCTGTGACCGTTATGTTACTGTCTCCGCACTTAAAAGTGAGAGGGTTAGGGATCTGTCTTTCTGTCAGCATAATGGCTTCGGTTTTATGATGGGCCAATGACAGACCCTCTGATGTATACCACGCAGCCATGTTTTTAATAATCTGCTCGGCCGGATAAAAATAGGATGGACGGTGGCTGCCATTAAAGAAATCCCACGAATAATAAGGTGCTATCGATGCCATGCCGTAGGGCACATTGCATTGAAATGCCCTGTAGTCTCTCTGGAAGGGGCGGGATTGTGCAGAAAATGTGGTGCACCCGGTCACGAGATGAAGGAATGCGATAAACCGCCACAATGCAAACCCTAACCCTAACCCTAACCCTAACCCTAACCTAACCCTAACCCTAACCTAGCCCTAACCCTAACCCTAACCCTAACCCTAACCCTAACCCTAACCCTAACCCTAACCCTAACCCTTACCTAACCCTTTTTTTTTTTTTTTTTTATTTTAACGAGGTGGGAAAAATGCATTTATGCAGACCGGGCTACGGTGTTAGATGCCCGGTACTGTGGGACTCCCAGACACTGGTATACCCACTAAAAAATCCACCTCGATTTCTCGTTCATGTTTCCGGCCTCCTCCCTGACAACCCCCGGAAAAGCCGCGATCTAATGATCTATAGCATTACTTCGAGGGGGGGGGGGGGGGGGGGGGGGGGGTCAAATGGTGCACTAAACCTTTGGAGCAGCTTATACTTCTCTCGGCACTTCTTCTGTATCTCTTGCTCCATCCGATGGGCCACGCCCTGTTTCATCGGAACACGGCCAGTGGGCGTCAACAAATGCTGGAGGCGATGCAAACGCCTATTTAATTTTCGTCAGCTTTTAAAAGTATGCATGACCATACTCCAGGGGTAAAACTATAGTCGAGCTAAAGTGCCCTTTGTCAGATTTAAACTAAAATAAAAATACTGCACATAGTTGCGTCTGTCCAATAAAAATCTCATAAAAATCGGATTGCATAGCAATAATTACTATTAAATAAATAAGTAAAATACGTAAATACTTATAAACAAGCACTCAGTAACATAAAATAGGCGTGTATAGGGCGCTCTGACTAGAATCTCCTCGTTTATGTAATATCTATTACTTGGATGGGCATATCATTGGGATTGCCTTGCGTTCTCCTCTCTTTTTCTCTATCCCTCTCATATTTCTCTTTCTCTCTCATACAGCTGGTTACAAACATGATTATCTGTTCTCTACTTCTGCTGTCACCAAATAGCCTGATGAAGTTTCCAACACCTAGATTTTCACCTATGGTGGCATTCATTGTTGCTCTTTTTTCCCTCCAGCGACTACAATGAAGTAGAAAATGTTCTGGATTATCTTCGTGTCCCTCACAGAACCAACAGCATGCGTTTTCCTGTTTGCCAATCCTCAATAGATACGACCCAAAACACCCATGACCCGTTAAAACTTGGGTCACATGGTAGCTCAGAACCTTTGGTCCCCATGTAACCCACTCCCTTATGTTGGGAATCAGTTGGAAGGTCCACCTACCCTTCGTCGACGCTGTCCATCTGCTCTCCCAGGTATCCATTGTCACCTCCCTCTCTTCTTTCTTGATCCTGACGATCTCCTCAATACTGAGTTCCCTATTTTCCTTCCTTTTCTCGTAAATGCGTGCTCTTTCCTTCACCAGCAGGTCGATGGGTATCTGTCCTGTTATTACACAGAGTGCATCCCATGATGTTGTTCTATAGGCTTGCGCTACCCTTAGCAGCGCGGTACGCTGTGTGCTATACAACAAGTTGCAATTTGTTCTAAACTCCAGACCCCCAACCCATAGCGGGGCCGCGTAGAGTATCACCGACTCTACTACTCTATAAAACAGCCTCCGGGCCAGGTTTCCTGCACCACCAAGGTTGGGCATCAGATGAGCCAACACCCCTGCATATTTAAGAGCCCTGCTACAGGCGGTTTCAATATGACTCTTAAAACCATGGTTCATGCCCAATATAAGGCCCAGATACCGTGCCGTACGTGCAGTTCTGATCTCCGCATCCCCACATATCACGCTAAGGCCACCCACTACCTTCCTTCCCGTGAACAAAATGGCTTCCGTCTTATGGTGCGCCAGACTCAGCCCCTCACTCTTGTACCATACCCCCAGGTCTTTGATGGTCTCCTGTGCTACATACACCATTCTAGCCAAATCGACATCAACGATGACAATACCAATGTCATCCGCATACGCCACCAGGTGCACATCTCTGCGCAGTCTCACCCTCAGTAAGCCGTCGTATACCAAGTTCCACAGAATTGGGCCGATGACGGAGCCCTGTGGAACCCCCCCAAACACCTGGAAATTGAGTTCCCCCTCCGCCGCATCATAGACTATCCACCTTTCATCTAGGTAGCTTCTTATCAGGTTAACAAGCTCTGGTGCAAATCCTCTTTCCTCTAAGCACCTAATGACACTGTCCCACCTGATCGTGTTAAATGCATTTTTTACATCCAACAGGATCAGGAGGCAGTGCCTTCCATCTTTGCGGGCTTTTTGCCAGATGCCATCCACTTTGTCCATTGCGTCGAGCGTTGAGCGACCTTTCCTAAAGCCATATTGATTATCGGCCAGGTCATTATTTTCTAATTCTCTTAAGATACGCGTCTTAATAAGTTTTTCCAGTATTTTCGCCAGGAAGGAGATTACCGAGAGGGGCCTATATGCCCTCTCATCTGCTCTTGTCGCCTTCCCTTTAGGTAATAGGACCAAACGTCCGGTCTTCCACGACCTTGGCCAATATCCTCTAGCATAACAGGTGTTATAAATATACGCTAGCCACCTAGCCGCTCTCAGGCTGAATTTTTTTGCTATTGACGTAGGCATCCTATCAGGCCCAGGCGCTTTATTAACTGGTAGACATCTAACCACTGAGGTAATCTCTTCGGGGGTAATCCCTCCCACTCTTCGGTGCTCAAGCGTGACAGGTACAGGTACAGGTACATCTGGCAGTTCTTCTTCCACATTAATTTCTCTCTCTCTACTTTCTGTTTCTCTTTCAGGTATCTCTCTCAGTCCCCCAGGTAAGTATCCCGTACCTCTTCTCTCTCCATTCTTATCATTGTTATTTTCTTTTTCAGGTGCTCCAGTACATCCGGGTTCATCAGGTAAGTATATAACTTCATCTTCATTTTCAACAGTTCTAACCACTATTTCAGTGTTTTTTTCAGGTGTATCCGGCCTCGGAGGGGACAGGATAAATAATTTCTTTACCACTGACTCTACTTCTTCGGCACTCAGTATATCTGGCTTACTACCCTTTCCCTTCAGTTTCCATGTGACCACCTTGTACGGTTTCCCCCATATATCCTTGTCAATATCCGTTAGCATATTTTTCCAACTAGTTTTTTTGGCTTTTTTCCACCGCACGCTTCATTGTTTTCTGTGCCGTCTTATATACCTTATACGCCTCCTCTATATCTCTCTCATTACCCTTAGCCCTTAACCTAGTGTGTCTCCTCCTCGCCTTGTTTACCTCTTTTTTGCATCTAGCCGTATCCTCATTCCACCAGTATACAGGTGTTTTGTTACCCTTGTATGGGCCTCTATAAGAAGTATACTTGTTAACCAGTCTATCCACGTCCTCAATAAACCTGTCTACCTCCAACGTAGTGCCCGTTTTAGCTCTCTTGTCATAGGCCTCGTCACCGTATTTCCGGATAAGTTCCTCCAGGAGTCCAGCTTCATCAATTTTTGGTTTTCCTAGGTCAAACGGGTCCTTCTCCCTCATGGAATCCGTCTTAGCCCTGCCAAACTTTCGCACAATATATCTGTGGTCCGATGCCGTGTACATGTCCAATACATCCGATGTTACGTGGAGTTTCATGGCGTCGTTGCTACAGAAAAGGAGGTCAACCACTGACCCCCCTCCCCTATCACAAGTAACACCTCCTTTTGCTATGGTGGGAGTCAGTCCCAGACCATTACACCACTGGTACAGAGTCCTGCCTCTATTGCACCAATTCTTCGACCCCCACAGTGGCGATTTAGCGTTGAAATCACCTGCGACTATGACCTTGGTTAAAGTCCCCTTACTACCAGCTAGAAACATCTCCATCAACGCTAGTTGTGCCTCAAAAGCTTGGCTACTATCGTTGGGGGAGGCATATACGCCCATTATGCATATATCATTGTAATTGATGCAGACAAAGCCCTTATCACAGCTCAGGACCGTTAACTTCCTGCTTTTTGCTATACCTGTGTTGGTGATGCTGATGGAAGCCCTACCCGTTAGATCCGTAAACCAGTTATCTGGCGTTAAATACGGTTCGGACAGCACCAGTATGTCCGCTTCCTGCTCCCTTGCACTGACAGCTAGCAGGTCATGCGCCAGTCTACAGTGGTTAAGATTCACCTGGAGAATGTTTATATTATGGTCGCCTTTTATTTTTAAGCGCCTCCTTGTATCTCGGACACCTTACAGAGGCCGCAACATGTCCGGTCTGACTCTCGGCGAGACCGTCTTCCACACAGAGCCTACACTTTGGCTCGTTTGAGCAATCTTTCATGTGGTGTCCTACAGCCCCACATTTCCTACACAATCCGCCATCTCCCACAACGAGCTTGCAGCCACCCGCTATGTGGCCAATACCATGGCATTTATAACACCTAAGTAGCCTCGGTATCTCTCTCGCAGAAATAACCGTCCATCCAATCATAATCCTGTTCGCCCTCAGAATCCGTTGCATGTCCGCAACAGGTCCCTCAACAACCGCTACTTTGCTCATTCTTGGGTCTGTGCGGAGAACTTTGACCCTCACACCTTTGGCCTCGTGTCCAAGCTCAGCCCTGATGGCTTCCAGGACCTCCTCTTTCTCTACCGAGGGATCTATCCCCCTCATCTCTACATCCATCATTGTTTGTAGCTTGGCTACCTCTACATTCACTCCCAGCTTACCATCTAAGTTTTTCCTTAGTTCATCCAGGTCAGACCCAGGTGCAAACTCTATCAGCAGATTCCCTGCCCTGGTCTGCTTAACATTTCTAACCCCATCAGGGACCCTACCAGTTACCCCCTTAACTTTTTTGAGTACCTCCGCGAAGGAGGTCTCTTTTCCAAACCTAACCGCGATCGCCTGCGGTTTCACGGCCCTCCTGGGCATATTCTTAGAACCGCCCCCTCTCTCGTTCGCGTAACCCTAACCTAACCCTAACCTAACCCTAACCTAACCTAACCCTTTTTTTTTTATTTTTTTTTTTTTTTATTTTAACGAGGTGGGAAAAATGCATTTATGCAGACCGGGCAACGGTGTTAAATGCCCGGTACTGTGGGACTCCCAAGGCTTGGTCTACCCACTAAAAAACCCACCTCGATTTCCCGTTCTGGTTGCCTGTTTTATCCCCTCCACCCCGGAACAGCCGCGATCTAGTGATCTGAGGCATTACTTCGGGGGGGAGGGGGGGGGGGGGGGGGGGGGGGGGGGGGGGGTGGCGTCTGGCGTCAAAAATCACGGGGTGTCTACAAGGCCCGTAACAGCTCCTCCTTCAAGCCGGGCACGCCCATACGGCGTTTTCAAACACCGGAGTGAATACATATTGTACAAATGCTCCGCGTCAACACAGTACAAAGGCCTATACAGCCATGCTCATGATTTAAAACGATAATCAGGTAAAAGTACCCTTTGTCAAGTTTTAAAAAAGCTACCCAATAGGTGCGTCTGTTTGGATTAAAATCCTCCACAAAGTGGTTATGCGAAGCATACGTACTTAAGACTAAATAATAAATAAATAAATACAGACAACATCACACAGAGAATCGGCGTGTATATGGCGCCTTGACTAGAGATTGATTTTGTTACCTTGAGGCTCTATTTTCGAGCATAATATCATCTTTTTCTACGAGCTCTCGGGTTTCTCCTTATTCTCATCTCGTTTTCTCTATCTCTCTCGTATTTCTCTTTGTCTCTTAATGAGCCGGTCACAAACCTGATTATATGGTCCCTATACCTGTTGTCACCTAATAACCTAATAAAATTTACAACTCCAAGAGGTTCGCCTATAGTAGTATTCAATGTGGCTCTTTCCACCCTCCAACGACTACAGCTAAACAAAAAATGCTCTGGACTGTCTTCGTAGCCCTCACAGAACCAACATCCGGAACTTTCCTTTTTACCAATTTTCCACAGGTAAGTGCCGAAGCAACCATGACCTGTTAGTACTTGGGTTACATGGTAACTCAAAAGCTTCGGTCCCCATGTTATCCAGTCCTTTACCTTGGGAATCAGCTCGAATGTCCATCTGCCCTTCATTGATTCAGTCCATCTCCGTTCCCAGGTCTCTAAGGTCACCTCCCTCTCTTCCTTTTTGGTCCTGCTAATCTCCTCGGTAGTGTAGTTTTTATTTTCTTTCCTCTTCTTGTAGATACGCCCCCTTTCCTCTACCATCAAATCAATGGGTATCTGTCCCGTTATGACGCAAAGCGCATCAACTGACGTGGTCCTATAGGCTTGTGCTAATCTTAAAAGCGCCGTACGTTGTGTGCCCGCCAATAGCTTCCGATTCATACTGAATTGCAGACCGGTGACCCATAATGGGGCAGCATATAGGATAACCGATTCTACCACCCTGTAATATAGCCTGCGGGCCTGGTTACCCGCACCACCTATATTGGGCATCAATTGGGCCAGTACATTAGCGTATTTTAGGGCCTTGTTACAGGCCGTTTCAATGTGGCTCTTAAAACCATGGTTCATTTCAAGAATGAGACCCAGATATCTTGCTTCGCGGGACGTTTTGATCTCAGCGTCCCCGCAAATCAGCCTAAGACCACCCGTTACCTTTCTCCCTGTTAACAATACGGCCTCAGTTTTGTGGTTTGCCAGGCTCAGACCCTCCTCTTTATACCAGTCACCCAGGTCCTTAATCGTCTCTTCTGCCACATACACCATCCTATGCAGGTCATCATCGACGACCACGATGCCAATATCGTCCGCGTACGCTATCAGGTACACATCTCTGCGTAGTCGTATTCTCAACAGGCCATCGTACACGAGGTTTCACAGTATTGGTCCTATCACAGAACCCTGTGGAACCCCGCCAAAAACCTGGTAACGTAGTTCCCCCTCAGCGGAGTTGTACACAATCCATCTCTCGCTTAAATAGCTACGTATAAATGCAATTAGCTCCGGAGAGAATCCTCGTTCCACCATACACCTAATGATGCTGCTCCACCTGATGGTGTTGAATGCGTTTTTTACATCCAACATCACCAGGAGGCAGTGTCTTCCATCTCTACGTGCCGTTTGCCAAATATAGTCCAACCTGTCCATCGCGTCGATTGTTGATCGCCCTTTTCTAAACCCGAACTGGTTCTCTGCCAGATCATTTTTCTCTAATTCCTTTAATAAACGGGTCTTGATTACCTTTTCTAGGATTTTAGCTAAACAGGGGATTATCGAGAGAGGTCTGTATGCCCTCTCTTCGGCTTTCGTGGCCTTCCCTTTAGGTAACAGAACTAAGCGTCCTGTCTTCCACGACCTTGGTCAGTAACCCTTGGCGTAGCATGTATTGTAGATGTGTGCAAGCCACCTAGACGCTTTCATACTAAATTTCTTCGTTACTGCCGAAGACAACCTGTCTGGACCAGGTGCCTTGTTCACCGGCATACCCCTCACCACAGCGATGATCTCCTCGGGTGTGATCCCTCCCACTCTTCTGTGTCTGATACAGGTAGGTACATACATCCTCTCCTCATACATATTAGTCCCATCGTATTCCCTTTCTCTTTCAGGTATATCTCGCGGCTCTTCAGGTAAGTATCGCGCGTCTATTGTGGAAACGTTCACATCATTATTATTTTTATTTTTATTTTTATTTTCAGGTACACCAGGACTTCCGGGTTTATCAGGTAAGTGTTCAACGTCATATATATTCTCTCTAACCTCTTGTTCGTTTTTTCTTTCAGGAATCTCTCCTTTCGGTGGTGACAGGATAAAGAGCTTTTTGACCACCTCTTCGACTTCCTCAGGGCTCAAGATGTCTGGTTTATTAACCTTCCCCTTGAGCTTCCTAGTGACCAGCTTATATGGTCTACCCCATATATCTTTATCTATTTCCGATAACATATTTTCCCAGCGGGTTCTTTTACCCTTTTTTACTTCACGATTCATTGCTTTCTTGGCCATCTTAAAATCCTTATGAGCCTCCTCTATATCTTTCTTGTTTCCCTTAGCCCTCAACCTTGTCAACCTTCTCCTTGCCTTATTTACATCCTTCCTGTATCTAGCCGTATCCTCATTCCACCAGTATACAGGGTGGCGATTTCCTCTATAGGGTCCTCTGTAGGTGGTATATTTATTCACTAATTTCTCTACATCATCGATGAACTTGTCCACCTCCATGGTGGTTCCGGTTTTACCTCTCCTATCGTAATTCGCGTCCCCATATTTCTGAACAAGCTCACACAGGAGACCTTCTTCATCAATTTTCCCTTTTCCTAGGTCAAAGGGGTCCTTTGCTGGTTCACCATTTATAGCGTTTTCACCAAACTTATGAATAATATATTTATGGTCCGACGCTGTAAAGGTGTCCAAAATCTCCGATGATGTGTGTTGTTTCATGGCATCATTACTACAAAAGAGGAGGTCTATTACCGATCCTCCTCCCCTTTCACAGGTAACGCCTCCCTTGGATATCACGGGAATCAGGCCCAGACTGTTACACCACTGAAAAAGGGTTCTTCCCCTACCACACCATTTTTTCGATCCCCATAGTGGGGATTTTGCGTTAAAATCCCCTAGAACTAAAATCTTAGTCAATGTTTTGCGAATGCTCACTAGAAAAATCTCCATCGCAGCCAATTGAGCCTTAAACTCTTCATTACTATCATTTGGGGAGGCATACACGCTCACTAAACCTATATCGTTATATTTTATACCGACGAAACCCATGCCGCAACTCAGTACTGTTAATTTTCTGCTTTTAGCTATACCCAAGTTAGTGACACATATAGATGCCCTTCCCGACAGGTCCGTGAACCAATTTTCTGGCGTAATATATGGCTCTGATAACACCATTATGTCTACGTCATGTTCTCTTGCACTGACGTTTACTAGATCATTTGCAAGCCTACAATGATTTAAATTCACTTGTAGGATATGCAGATCATGCGCGCCTTTTGTTCTTTAAAGCCTCCTTGTATCTAGGACACCTTACCGAGGCCGCAACGTGTCCTATCTGGTTCTCGGGTAAGCCATCCGTAACACATAATCTACATTTAGGCTTGCTCGCACACTCTTTCATGTGATGACCAGGCTCCCCGCACTTTCTGCATAACCCGCCTTCCTCAACAACGAGTTTGCAACCACTCGCTATGTGGCCAATGCCATGACATTTAAAACAACGGAGCAGTCTTGGTATCTCCCTCGCCGTAACGATCGTCCAACCGATCCTTATCCTGCCCACTCTTAGGATCCGTTGCATGTCTACCGCTGGTCCTTCAATGACCGCTATCTTGTTCATTCTTGGGTCGGTACGTAATATTTTGACCCTCACACCTTTGGCGTCATGCCCCAGCTCTGACCTGACGGCTTCCATTACATCCTCCTTTTCTGCGGAGGGGTCGATACCTCTCATCTCAACATCAAGCATGGTCTGTAGCTTAGTCACCTCAACGTTAGCGCCAAGCTTACCATCCAAATTTCTTCTGAGCTCATCTAGGTCCGACCCTGGTGAAAACTCTATCAACAGGTTCCCTGCCCTGGTCTGTTTGACATTTCTAACTCCATCTGGAGTCTTGCCTGCCACGCCCTTTACTTTTTTAAGGACCTCGGCGAAGGAAATATCTTTTCCAAAACGGACCGCTATCGCCTGCGGCTTCATAGCTCTCCTAGGCGTATTCTTTATTCCAGCCACTCTACCGTTTAACATTCCTCCCCTAATATTTCTATTGGGTGTTTCAGTTTCTGCTCTGTCAGTGTCCTCCGGATCCGTTCTTCTTCTTCTCCTTCTAATCTCCGTCCAGTCACCGTCACCAGAGACCTCACCCCCATCCTGACCTGTTACTTGTCCCCTATTCACTGGTATCCTATCCCTAGGTGTCTCCGTCTGTGTTTTAGAAAACCTCGTCCTCTTCCCCTGTTTATCCGTGGGCGGGGTGATCTCCTTCCTCTTCTGTCTTACCAGAAGGGGGGGGGAGATCACTCCTCCCATCGCTTACTGTTTGTGTTCCCACTGACTTTATTTCTTTTTCAGGTTTCTGCACCAGCTTCATCTCATTGGACTTCGTCGTTGTCTTCGTCTCCGTGTGGTAAGTATCTCTGTTCTTCCTTTTTTTTGTGTGGTCAGTGTGTGCTTTCCTTAGCTCCACCACCGCCGACATCACCTCCTGTATGTTGTCTTTTAACGATACATACGTTTTTTTGAGGGCAAAATCTTCCTCACCTTCTCTGTTCAATATCATATTATCAAACACTACGTTATGATCATTTATCACGTTGAGGATCTGCTCCATCACCGCAAGACTGGCATCCACCTTTTCTTCAAGGGTTAAACTCTCCTTTCTTTGTTGTGGGGGCGGGGTGGGTACGCCTACCTTTTTCCCCTTTGTTTTCCTCCTGTTAGAGTCACTTTCATATTCTGTTTCCGCCTCATCACCAGTAAGGTCAATCGACTCCAACCTCATACTAGGGGCCTTAAAAACTCTATTCTTTTGAACACTCGGTGGTGTCCTGCTCAAACGCGAATTTCTTGCAAGGGCTCGTTCTTCCTCCACTATTCCCGTGTTACTTACCGGGACTTCGCCAGTAGCAGCTGCATGTACGGGGGCCTGGCAGTCTACCGCCCGTACTGTGCAGTCGTAGGTTGACAACGCGGGGGTGCCTGCACACTCACTCCCCACCGCGCCGGTACTGGGGTGTCCGAATCCCCCTGCACCGTAATTCCTTTTACTATTTTTAACTTTATCCATATTTATATTATTTTAGAGTAGTCCGTTAAAACATTGCCGAGTCGTCATAAGCAATACCATTCCTGAAACCCTAACCAATCCAGTTCATGTCCATAATACACAGCCAAGTCAGCATCATAACGGGTAAATGGGAGACATATATAACAAAGTGATATAAAAAAATCTCTCCAGGAAACTCGAAAGACGTGGAAACCAATCACAGGAAACCCGCCACGTACCAAAATTATGTCAAACTTCACGAAATAACGAAAACCGCGACTTTCAGTAAAAACCTTGCTCAGCACTCGCGCACAACTCTTATATTTTCCTCCAGGACTTGTTCGTGCGTTCCAATACCCCTCTACCTCACAAAAACTACGTTTCGTCACATGGGGTCAAGAGGCCCCATGGGTCACCGAGGGCCCCGGCCCCTGGACAATGAGGACCATCATAACAAGGGTGCCTCAAGACCCCTGCCCCTAAACATTGAGGGCCATCAATACTTCAAAGCCCCAGCCCCTGTATGATGCGAGCCGTTTCAGCAGGGTACCTCAGGGACCCAGCCCCTTCGATACCTCAGCCCTTTCTACTTTGGGTTTCCTTAGACCCCATGGGGCAACCGAAACCCCATGGAAAGTCAAAAATCGATTCAGAGGCCCAGAAAAACAGAGTCTACGCGCATCATCACTCGCGCACTACGTCACACTGACGTCACGGGGTGTCCAGTACCCCGGTGGGGTCTTCAGGGCCCCAGAGGTCCTCAAGACCCCATGGGTCAAAATGACCCCCCGGGTCACCCAAGACCCCGAAAATATATTATTTCATTTTCGATGTAAAAATTTTTCACGACCATTATATCGTCCTCTACTGTACCGGGACTTATTAATTTCAACATGCTATATGTAACCTGCTAACGCGCACTTCTATCGCACATATGACGTCGAAAATTGCTTTCTACCGCTCACAGAAGAACCTATTAAAATCAGTCGGGTGCCAAAAAATACTAAAAGCAGCTGAACACGTCCATATATATACACAAAATCCCATAATTTCAACGCAAAATACATAACAACAATCTCGGCACTCCCACTGTCACTATTCATGACTAAGTTTACGATTTTTAATCAATTTTAAACACTTTTGCAAATTTATTTCGGTGACACGGGCCCTCTTCGCGATAGCTCCTTCGTTGTTCTTCTACATTCGAGCTGTTTTGCGCCGGCGCAAGTCTTTTCCAGCTATCTGATTGGTCGAACATCTCGAAAAGTAGTTCGTAGAGTCGCGCTAGTGATTTCCGGCTGTCACTTCATGTATCCGTTTTCTTCCACGTGTACTTTTGCCGTGTTTAACGCTTTATTTCGCCGAAAATAATAATTTATTGGCCACTCACCGGTGCTGGGATGGATACCTCGTGTTTGTGAAGTATGTCCAGTGTGCTGATCACCTGCGTAGTGCCTCTCCCACGCGTCCAGTGTCTGTGAAGTGTTCCCTGTCGTGTGTCCAATCACGTGGCCCCTCCATCTTGTCTCCCTCGTGTCGTATGGTGTTAATTGTATCTTTTTTGTATTTTCTTCGTTAAATAACCAGTTCCGTCCTAGTTTTCGATGCAGTAGTGGAGAATGCGTCCTCATTTATGGTGTTTTAATAACTAAACTAACTAAATCTTTTGGAGTGCAGCGTAATTAATTAATTATGGTATCAGTGTTCCAACTGTCACTTTCTCCTAGTCGAACTCTTTAATTGTTAAAACTTTTATAAATGTTTATCAAATTTCCAATTTTAATGTTAATGTCTTGTACCGTACAATAAATGAAAATGAAAATCACTAACTCATCTATAAATAATTATTTTCCACCCTCTTTAACCGCACTTTACCCGATCCTTGCCGGAGCGGACCCGACACACGTCCGCTCGGTACCGCGGTTCGCACTGCACTCTAACCTAACCTAACCCTAACCTTTTTTTTTTTTTTTTTTTTTTTTTTAACGAGGTGGGAAAAATGCATTTATGCAGACCGGGCTAGGTGTTGTGCACCCGGTACTGTGGGACTCCCATAAGGACTACCCACTAAAAAACCCACCTCGATTTCCCTTTCCAGGGGCCTACGGCTAATAAAACTCCGCCCCCGGAACAGCTGTGGCCAGTGGCCTTTAGCATTTCATCGGGGGCGGGCTACATGAAAAAGGCAGACTCATTGCCTTGGGGGGTGGACTACCAGTCCCCCACCAGTGACACCACGGGTAGGAAAGAGATGATCATTTCCTCCTCTTCTAACCGTCCTTCTTCGGCGTTATACACGCCCACAAACCAACCCATCATGGAGGTAATAATACGCCTTACACTGCTGGGCGTTCACTACGCCCTACTATCCGTTGAAACTCTGCCCATACAGGTGGGCTTTATCACATTCTGGGCGTGTTCAGTCACCAAATAAATACGTTAGGAATAAACCGTTGGCCAGCGGCCTGTCATAAGATAAAATCATTGGGTGGGGATGTCCCACCCGTCCATCATTAAAATTATTATCGAACGGGTCGTCAAAACAATAAAACTTTTTTAAAAAGAAATCAATAAATAAATAAATAAATAAATAGACGGCACAGTAAAAAATAAAATAAATCAGTCAATAAATAAAGGACAAAAAACAACACTCAGCTGGTGTGTAAATGGCACCTAGCTTACACATACCACGATCGGCTATAAAAAGGCTATGTTCCTGTGTTAATGGAGCTTCTTCCTCCCTCTCTCGCTTCTCTCTCCTCTCTTTCCAGGGTCCTCTCGTGTGCTTCCTTCTCCTTCATTGCATTAACCACAAATTCTGTCACTCGATCTCTCCTTGTATTATTCCTCAACAGGTCAATGAAGTTGTCCGCTTTTAGCGACACGCCCAGTTCTGCATGAAGGGATGTTCTCTCCACCCCCCACCTCTTACAGTGGAAGAGAAAGTGCTCTGGACTGTCGCTCATGCCCGGGCAGAACCAGCACTCCGAGTGATTTTGTCTTCTTATTTTTTGCAAATAGGTGCCAAAACATCCATGGCCCGTCATCACTTGCGTTATGTGGAAATTCAGGTGCCTCGGCCCCCACCTTATCCAGTCTGTGATGCGGGGGATAAGTGCAAAAGTCCACCTTCCCTTGTTTGAAGCCGCCCATCTGCTTTGCCACGCCTCCAATGTGGCCGCCCTAGCCTCCTTCTTGATGGATGCCACTCCCTCCACTGTGAGTAGACCCGCCTCTCTCCGCTTATAAAAAATACGTTCCCTCTCCCTAACGAGGAGGTCAATAGGGACCTGTCCAGTTATAACGCAGAGGGCGTCCGCAGAGGCGGTCCTATAGGCCTGTGCGACCCTAAGAAGGGCGGTCCGTTGCGTGCTGGTGAGTAGTTGCACATTTAGCCTCACCTCAAGTCCGGAGGCCCATAGCGGTGCCGCGTACAGGATTACCGACTCTACTACTTTGTAGTAGAGCCGTCGGGCAAGATTTCCGGCCCCACCCAGATTGGGCATAAGCCACGCCAGCGTGTTCGCGTATTTTAGGGCTTTGCTACAGGCCGTTTCAACGTGCACCCTGAAACCCCGATTCATTTCCACAATCAGACCCAAGTATCGGGCAGCACGGGCCGTTTTTATGTCCGCCCCACCACATTTGAATGTGAGGCCCCCAGCCACCTTCCTACCCGTGAGGAGTATTGCCTCCGTCTTGTGGTGGGCGAGGCTCAGGCCCTCGGCCTCGTACCATCTACTCATATCTTCGATGGTGAGCTCCACCACTCGTATCATCCGATCGAAGTCCTCTTCTATAACCACAATTCCAATATCGTCTGCGTATCCAATGAGGTACACATCCCTTCGCAGACGAAGACGCAGTAAACCATCATATACGAGGTTCCATAAAATAGGTCCTATAACGGACCCTTGAGGGACCCCACCGAATACTTGAAATCTAAGTAAGGCCCTCTTTCGAGTCGAACACAATCCAACGTTCTTCTAGATAACTCTGCATGAGTGCGATTAGTGTGTGGAAGAAACCCCTCTCCTCCATGCATCTAATTATGCTCCTCCACCTGACTGTGTTGAAGGCGTTCTTAACATCTAACAACACCAACAAGCAGTGTCGACCCTCTTTTCTCGCAGCCTCCCAATGGGATCTAAGCTCCGCCATCGCGTCCAGTGTTGATCTACCCCGGCGGAAACCATACTGGTTATCCGCTAGGTCATTCTTGGCAAGCTCATCTATAATCCTGCGTTTCACCACCTTTTCTAGCAGCTTCGCCAGACAGGGTATAATTGATAGGGGCCGATACGCCCTTTCCCCCTTGTTTAGTGTCTTCCCCTTTGGGAGTAGCACCAGCCTCCCCGTCTTCCATGCAATGGGCCAATAGCCCCTCCTGAAGCAGGTGGTGAATATGTGCGCCAGCCACCTGGAGGCTCCCATGGCAAATTTCTTCGTCACCGCTGATGAAATTTTATCCGGACCCGGGGCCTTTTTAGCGGATAACCTCTTTGCCAGTAAATACACTTCACCCGGGGTAACCTTGTCAACCTCGCTCGCTGTTTGTGGGCCCTCGGAGAAGTTCTGCCCTCTCCTATCTCGCTCGATTCCCGATCCAGTTTCGGGACTTGGCGCAGGTAAGTATACCGGTGAGTGCGACTGTGGATGTGTGTGTACGTGTGCGAGTGTATGTATGTATGTATGTGCGTATGAATGTGTAGATACCTCCTCAGCAACACCTCCTTCCCTATCTCCACCTACTTCTTCCCCTTCTTTTCCAATTTCAGGTAGCCCCCGCCCACTCTCACCCGCAGGTAAGTACGATGAGTCATGTAAGTATCCAACCCCAGCAGTCTCTACTGAATTGATCTCTAACCCTTTATTTACAGGTAATTGCCCGTCGAGTGATTTCAATATGAACAGCTTTTCCACAACCGCTTCTACTTCCTCAGGACACATCACGTCAGGCTTAGTCGTCTTGCCCTTTAACTTCTTCATAACTGTCTTGTAGGGCCGCCCCCATATGTCCTTATCAATCTCGCTTAACAGTTCCCTCCAGTTGGTTTTCTTCGCCTTATTAACCTCCCTATTCAGTGCCTTCTTAGCTGCTTTATATATTGCATAAGCGGCCTCAGTATCCGCTGTCACGTTCTTAGCCCTTGCCCGGGTAACCTAACCCTAACCTAACCTAACCTAACCTAACCCAACCTAACCTTTTTTTTTTTTTTTTTATTTTTAACGAGGTGGGAAAAATGCGTTTATGCAGACCGGGCAAGGTGTTATGTGCCCGGTACTGTGGGACTCCCATATGGTCTACCCACTAAAAAACCCACCTCGATTTCCCTTCCATTATGCCCCTAACCATACGAAACTCCGCCCCCGGAACCGCTCTGACCAATGGTCTTCAGCAATACTTCGGGGGCGGGCGGGAGAAACGGGGCTCCACCCACACATGGGCGACTAAGTGCTGTCTACTTTCGAGCTATGCAACACTACGGGCAGGAGGCGCAGCCTACCATCCACGAGGCGTGTTCCCGCCTATAATCATTCGTTGGTGATAAAATAGTCTGGCACGTCGAAAATTAAAACCACATACTGGAGTAACCCGCTTGTCAGTCACTAAAATATAAAATCTAGTCGATGGTCAGTAGTTAAAATAGTCACCCTACCCTATTCAGTAAAGAATAGGGGCGTACGTCACTAATTAAATAAATAAATAAATAAACATATAAATAAATAAATAGGACGATCACTCTACTGGTGTGTAGAGGGCACCTAGTAGCACAAATAATTGCACATCCCCTCTATTCTGCCATTATGTGCTCGAACGTGGCCTTCTCCTATCACGTGCCTCCCTTTCCATGTTCCTCTCGTGGGCCTCTTTTTCTCTCATTGAGCCTATAACAAAGCCGATAATCCTGTCCCTTTTCCTGGGTTCTTTCAACGAGTCGATGAAATTTCCAGGGTCCAGTGCCACGCCCACATCCGCGCATAGGGCCGCCCTCTCTGTCCTCCACTTCCCGCAATGGAACAGGAAATGATCTGGGTCGTCCACCTCTCCCGGGCAGAACCAGCACTCTGAGCGGTCTTGTTTACCAATTTTTTGTAAATATGTGCCAAAGCACCCGTGGCCCGTGACAACTTGCGTCATATGAAAACTCAACAGCTTTGGTCCCCACCCTATCCATTCCTTAAGGCGGGGAATCAACGCAAAGGACCACCTACCCTTGCTAGACTCCGCCCACCTGCTTTGCCAGGCCTCTAGGGTGGCCTCTCGCTCCTCCTTCTTGATATCCCTCACCCCCTCTATCTTGGCAGGGCCCAATTCCTTACTCCTATAGTACACTCTCTCTCTCTCCCTTACCAGGAGGTCTATAGGGATCTGTCCTGTAATAACACACAAGGCATCCGCGGACGTTGTTCTATATGCTTGCGCGACTCTTAATAACGCCGTCCGTTGCGTGCTAATAAGTAGTTTACGGTTAACACCCAGTTCCAAACCCAGGGCCCACAATGGTGCCGCGTATAAAATTACCGACTCCACTACTTTATAGTAGAGCCGTCTCGCCATATTCCCAGCCCCTCTCAAGTTTGGCATAAGTTGCGCCAGGATATTGGTGTATTTCAGCGCTTTGTTACAGGCTGTTTCAATGTGAACGCGGTACCCACGGTTCATTTCCAGGATCAAACCTAGATAGCGTGCTGTTCTGCTCGTTCTTATGTCGGAGTCGCCACACCTGAATGTGAGGCCTCCGCACACCTTGCGGCCCGTCAGGAGGATCGCCTCCGTCTTATGGTGGGCGAGCTTAAGTCCCTCTGACTCATACCAGCCGCTCATGTCTCTTATCGTTCTTTCGGCCACGCCCACCATCCTGTCAAAATCATTGTCGATAATGACGATACCTATATCGTCCGCGTATCCTATCAGGTACACGTCCCTCCGAAGTCTAATACGCAATAGTCCGTCATAAACCAGATTCCAGAGGATAGGTCCTATAACCGACCCTTGTGGTACTCCTCCGAATACCTGGAACCGTAGCGTTTCGTCCCTCGTGTTCAGCATGATCCAGCGATCCTCCAAGTAGCTGCTAATGAACCTAATCAATTCTCTGGAAAAACCTCGTTCACGCATGCACCTTATAACACTCTCCCACCTGACCGTGTTAAATGCGTTCTTCACATCCAGCAGAATGAGCAGGCAATGACGTCCCTCTCTTCTGGCAGTCTCCCAATGTTTCCTCAGCATCTCCATCGCGTCTAGAGTGGACCTTCCTCTCCTAAACCCAAACTGGTTATCTGCTAGGTCATTTTTGTCGAGCTCAGTTAGGATCCTGCTCTTAACCACTTTCTCTAGCAGCTTCGCCAGGCACGATATAATGGAGAGGGGGCGGTACGCCTTCTCCTCAATACCCTGCGCCTTCGCCTTAGGGAGTAAAACCAACCTCCCCGTCTTCCAGGGGGTGGGCCAATAACCCCTCCTATAACACGTAGTAAATATGTGGGCGAGCCATTTGGACGCGCCCATGGCGAACTTTTTGGCCACCGCTGACGATATTCTATCTGGGCCCGGTGCCTTCTTAGCCGACATCCTCCTCGCTAGTAGGAAAATCTCCGCGGGTCTAATCACATCCGGCCTCTCAACATTCCGGTGAAATTCCAGTGGGTCCGGGGGGTCAGACGGCCCACTAGCCCCTACTGAGGTCCTCCCAACTACAGGTAAGTATGTCGGTAAGTATCCTTGGGCACTCCCTGCCCCCATCCCTCTTCCTCTCACCATGTCCGCACCACCATTTCCATCAGGTCCCTGCGCTCTATCATCCTCTGATAGGTAAGTATTCCCGATCTCCTCTTCGCTCACTACATTAATGACTATACTTCTTTCAGGTTGCCGTGATACAGGGGGTTTCACCATGAACAAATTCTTCACTACCGTCTCCACCTCTCCCGGGCTCATAACGTCGGGCTTGTTCGCCTTCCCCTTTAACCGTTTCATCACTATCTTGTACGGTCTCCCCCATATGTCACCATCGACTTCGTTTAGTAACTCCCTCCAGTTTACTTTCTTAGCCTTTTTTACTCCCCTATCCATGTCTTTTTTAGCCTTTTTGTACTCCTCATGTTTAGTTGCTATGTCCAGTTCATTGCCCCTTGCCCTTGCCCGGGTATATTTCCTCCGGCTTTTATTAACCAGCCTTCTCATTTCAGCGATGGACTCTGTCCACCAATAAGCCGGTTTGCGGTCCCTCTGAACCGCCCTACTATAATAAGTGTGCTTATTGACGGCCTTCTCCAGCTCTTCGATGAACTTATCCACCTCATTTGTGGTACCTGTCCTTCCCAGTTTCCCAAAGTTTTCGTCACCGTATCTCTTGAGAAGGCTGGCAAGGAGCCTATCCTCATCTATCCTACCCTTTCCCAGGTTAAAGGGGTCCTGGTCTCGAGGCAGCCCCGTACCGTCACCCCTAAACTCGTGCAGGATATACCTGTGGTCAGAAGCCGTAAATTCATCAAGGACCATCGATACATCATGGGTACTCAGCGCCTGTTCACTACCAAGAAGGAAATCAATTACCGACCCCCTTCCCCTCTCACAGGTCACACCCCCTTCGGCTATTACGGGGCGTAGCCCAAGGCTCGACGCCAGTTGGTATAAAACCCTGCCCCTCCCACACCAATCTGCCGCACCCCAGAGCGGGGACTTAGCATTGAAGTCCCCCATTACTACGATCTTGTGATGGGACGCACTCAATTGTTTGACCAATAGCTCCAGCCCCGAGAACACATTCTCCACCTCCTGACGGCTAGCATTAGGGGACACATAAACACTGACGATTCCCACGTCGTTGTAGCTAATTGCCACATAGCCGTTACCACTGCCAAATATTGACGTCTGTCTGCATTTTTCTAGCCCCTCACCAGTGATGTATATCGCCGCTCTGCCCGTAGTGTCGCTAAACCAGCTCTCAGGTACGGTGTAGGGTTCGGAAACCGCTACGACGTCCACCCTTCGCTCCGCTGCTCCGACCAGCAACAGGTCGTGCGCCAATCTGCAGTGGTTTAGGTTCACCTGCAGTAACCTCATATTACCCTCGCCTGCTTTGCCTAAGCGCCTCTTTATACCTTGGGCACCGGACCGAGGCCGCTACGTGTCCCGCTTGGTCCGGTGGGAGACCATCTGCCACACAAAGCCTACACCTTGTCTCATTTTTGCAGTCTCTCATCTGGTGCCCTCTGTCTCCGCACTTTCTGCAGAAGCCATCTCTATCGCCCGTTACATTGCAGGCACTCGCAACATGGCCAATAGCGTGGCACTTATAACAGCGCAGCAGCCGTGGAATCTCGCGTGCCGTGACAGCAGTCCAGTCAATCAAAATTCTCCTTCCGTTCAGGAGTCGACTCATATCGGCAGCAGGGCCCTCAATCACGGCCACTCTGCTTAGCCTGGGATCGGTGCGGAAGACCTTCACCCTGACCCCCCTGGCTTCATGTCCCAACTCGCTTTTTATCGCCTCATACACCTCTTCCTTCTCAACCGATGGATCTATACCTCTTATCTCTATGTCCATCATTTTCTGGAGCCTAGTGACCTCGACTTCCGGGCCCAAATTCCCATCCAAATTCTTTCTGAGTCCCTCCAAGTCCGCTCCTTGATCAAACTCTATGAGCAGGTTACCTGCCCTGGTCTGCTTCACATTTCGGACTCCCTCCGGGATCTTACCCGCTGCACCTTTAACCCTTTTGAGGACATCCGCAAAAGATATCTCCTTCCCGAAACGGACCGCTAGTGCCTGCGGCTTAAAATTCCTCCTCGGGGTAGTCTTCTCCGCGCTACCCCTTCCCTTGTTTGGTCTGGGGGTTTCCCTCTTGCTGGGAGTGGTCCCCACCCCATCCTCCTCCTCCAAGTTGCTCCGCCTTTTCCTCCTCCTGACTTCCGACCAATCCGGCTCCTTACAGGCTCCTTCCCTCTCCTGTCCTGTCGTCTGTTCTCCATCCCCATCATTTCCCACATTCTGGGTCTCCATCAGTCCATAATTACCCTGGAATCTTGTCCTCTTTCCCTGCTTGTTTATAGGGGGGGTGGTCTCCTTCCTCTTCTGCTGCTTTCCAGCCGGGAGAGGAGGGAAATCACTCCTCAAATCGATGTCTGTCTGTGTACTAATGCTCTTCATTTTCTTTTCTTTTGCAGGTCCACCATCCGTAGGCGAGTCTGTAGGCTCCATCATCGCCGGCTTCCAGTGGGTACCCTTGCTTTTCTTCGCAGCTGTATAATCGGTATGTACTTTTCTCAGATCCCCTACCGTGTCCATTACCTCCTGTATGTGGCCCTTCATAGATGCGTACGTACTTCTTAGTATAAAATCCACCTCCTTATCTCCCTTCAATATCAAGTTATCGAACACCGTGTTGTGGTCGTTAATCACACTCAATAGCTTCTCCATGGCCGCTAATCCAGCGTCCACCTTCTCCTCTAGCGTGAGACTGGTCCTCCTTTGTTGCGAGAGGGTAGGGGTTCCCCCTCTCCTTCCCCCTCTCACACTCTTCTTACTCGTTTCGCTTTCACTTTCCGCCTCGTCTCCCGTTAAATCAATCGACTCAAGTCTCCGAGTTGTCGCTCCCGAGACTCTTGGAGCCGCTGGGTGGGGTCCTACTCAGCTTCGGTCTCCTCGCAAAACCGCGACTTGTCACCAAGTCTCCCGGGTTCAACGCCGGGACTTCGCCAGTAACCTTTACTGGTACGGGGGCCTGGCGGTCTGCCACCCGTACTGTGCAGTCGCTAGATAACGACGCGGGGGAGCCTGCACCTACGCTGCCCACCGCGCCGATACTGGGGGATCCGAAGCCCCCTGCACCGTAAACCTTCTTACTTTTGTCGTCGTAGTTCATCATAATTTTAAATAGAATAGTCCATATAACAAGCCAGGTCGTCATAAAATAAGTCCAGTCAATTACCCATCCGTTATACAATAGCATAGTCCGTAAATCACCACCAAGTCGTCAACGTAAGCTGGGATATGCACACAATGGTTAACACGACCACCTGGACTAAAAGGCCCCTGAATATCGCTTGGGCACTTCCCCGCACCCCATAGTACCGACAAATCACGAAAATCTCACAGCCACTTTGAATCACCCTGTACATGTCGAGGGGGAGGGACCCCCCACGGGACCTCCGAGGGTGATAACCATCAAAAACACATAAAAGGTGGAAAATCCGAACTTTGTTCTAAAACTCTATTGTGGTTCTTATATTTCCCTCGGTCACTTGTTCATTCGCTTCTACACCTCCCTACTGACGTCATTCCGCTATGGGGTCCTAAGGACCCCAACCCCTGAATCGGGTGAACCCTCCTTACACTGGGTGTCTCGTAGCCCCATGGGTTTACGGGGACCCCAACCCCTTATCCTGGAGGTCCCGCCTTACATCGGGTGCTTCATAGCCCCCTGGGTTCCCTTCAGCCCCGGCCCCTTATCCTAGAGGACCATCTTTACATTGGGTTCCTCGAGACCCCGTGGGGTACCCGGGACCCATGGAAAGTCAGAATTTGCTTCGAGGCCGAGAATAGACAAGTCTGTCGCGCATCACTGGGCACGCGCCACGTCATCATGACGTCACGGGGTCTCCAATGCCCTAGTGGGGTCCCCAGGTCCCATGAAAAGACAAAATCGCTTCATCGCGAGCATATAACGAGGTCCAGTGCGCACTCTTTGCCGCGCACGACGTCACCGTGACGTCATGGGGTCCTTAGAACCCCGTGGGGTCTTCAGGACCCCATGGGTCAAAATGACCCCTGCGTCCCCCAGGACCCCGGAAATATATTATTCGAAATCCGTAATAAAAAATTTTACGAGCCATTTTATCGCGCACCACTATAGGAGCCACTTAATCGCCGACCTGTAGTAGCGGCCAGCCACCGCGCACTACTTCTGCGACGATGACGTCAAAACCCAGACTTTGCAGTACACCGAAGTATCTAGTCCAAATGGGGTGGGCGCCTAATACTTTAAAACGCTGAAAACGACGCGAAAATTAAGCGAATCCTGTTTAATGTTCCTTATAAAAACGTTCAATAGCTAATTAGGTCCTTCACCCCATTCGCCAACATACACTAAATGTTTATAAAAGTCTCGCAATAAATTTTCTAAAATTTTTCCCCATTGCTCCGGGCCCCAGCACTGCTAGCTCCTTCGGTGTTCTTCATCAGATATTTACATATTGCGCCGGCGCGAACCGTTTAACGCACTCTGATTGGGTAATCAGCACCTTGCGCATGCGCACAACTCGAAAATTTGCCCGAGTCGTCGCGCTGGCTGCATCCGGTTGTCGCTTATCGTTTCCTCTTTCTTCCACGTGTTAATTTCCGTGCTTTAACGACTCAAATCTCCGAAAATATCTATATAAATCGACTCACCGTTGTTGTACGTCGTCTCTCGCGTCAGTGTGGTGTTACCTCTGTGCTTTTTGTGCGTGTATTGCTCCTGGTGTCGTCCTGTTGTGCCTGTTAAGGTGTCCAAGTGCTATCCACCACGTGGTCCCGCCATCTTGCTCGCTACATGTCCCCAATTGTTTCCACGTTATTTCGCCTGTGTTTCGCCCTTTTCTGTGTTTGTTTGTGCCGAATCAGCCGTTGTTAACCCCGCTCTACTCGTTTATGTGCATGTTAAACCCGTTCCTGTTGAGTGCAGTTTGTTTCACGCGTGGTAATGTGATCCACCTGTCACTTTCTCTCTCCGATGAGATTTAAACGCCTATAATTTGTTAATTCCCGGTCCGATTTCTACAAATTATGGCTTAAAACTCACACACTACCTTCCACCTAGGGGTCCCACTCACCACTGGATTTTTCACCGAACTTTTCCCCGCTTAAAACCGGATAAGGCCGGAGCGGACCCGGCACGTGTCCGCTCACTACGGCCGCCCGTACTGCACTAACCTAACGTAACCTAACCTAACCTAACCTAACCTAACCCTTTTTTTTTGTGGCGGGGAGGGGGAAAATGCTTTATGCACACCGGGCGGGGAGTGCAAGCCCGGTAGTGTGGGACTCCGTCACGTTTACCCACTAAAAACCCCCTCCTCGTACTTACCATTTTTTTCAAGTGGCCGGGATAGACTGGTAAGGCCTTTTTAGGCAAAACTTCGGTCTAACCTTTTTTAGCCACCCTTAATCTATCATTTGGTACATTTCTGTGTTTTATTTAGGGGTTTTACCTCAATATCACGGTGAGTCAATGCGTTCAAAATCTAAGATCTAGATATAGTCATATTTGTAAAATTTCCAGTATATCTATTCGTATTAAGTATATAAGTAAGATATAAGTAAAATAGAAGTTAGATACGCGATTATATGTTTAACAGAATAAAACTTAGTCCTTTGTATTAAATGTTCTTATGATTTGCAGATAGCTAAAATAAATAAATAAATAAATAGTTAAATAAATAAATAATAAATAAATACTTAAGTAGTAAAATAAATAGATGAGTAAGTAATTTATTCCAGTTACAAACGGTAACCATTTTTAACTAACTGGGCTTCACTTTAAGTAGATTTGCGTTAAACGATCGCCATAAACACAACGCCTAAATGATGGTAATATATATTTATGTAACCAAGCAACCAGTAAGTGCTTTTTATTGTTCTTTCGTTCGTTCATTCGCCTTTATTGACTTTTTTGACCTATTTTTACCTTTTAGGCCCATATTTGCAATTTTGAGTATGCTGTACTACTATGCGGTTTTTCCACCTGTACAAGTAGGTATTTTCTTCTTTTATTATTTGGATTACTACTCGGAAAACCTTTCGGGCCCAACAATTCGGTTCAATTTATATTTGCTAGTTTGTTTCCTATTTTTAATTTAATTTAATTCTATTTCGTCACTTATAGTTGTATGATTTCTACCTCGCCCGTTGGTTCTGCCCGTGCGTTTCTTTTAATTTCACGCCTAATTTTCTCTCTAATGTTTTTTCCCATTTTTCTTTTTCACTGATGCAATTTATGCAAAATTCTCTAACGTAGTAATTGGTACTTTTCTTTTTTAATAGGTTTGCCATGTTTTCTGTTGCCCAGATCTCGGGCTGGATGTGACCTATGAGGCTTTCTCTCTCCGCACTCCACCTTGGGCACTGGAAAAGAGTATGCATCACATCGTCATTTGGATCGTCACAAAACCAGCAATTTGCCGTATTTTCTTTTTCGATTTTATGAAGGTATGAGCCAAAACATCCATGACCAGTCAGTGCCTGAACCGTGTGATAATCCAAAGGTGGTGGTCCATCCTGGTACCATTCTTTTAGGTTTGGAATAACCGTATAGGTCCATCTTCCCTTAGTCTGGCTTGACCATTCTTCCTGCCATTTTTGCATCGATTTCTTTTGCTCATTTTCCTTCATTTCCTTTTTTTCTTCCATAGTTGGCGTCTCCTCATTTGTGGTTGTATTCGTTTCCTCTTTTAATTTTCTGATTTTATTATATACATTTTCAGCTTCCTTGGCTGTGTAATCCCACGGGAGCTTTCCTGTTAAGATACACAGCACCTCCGTCGATACGGTTCTGTACGCTCTGCAGATTCTGCTAAGGGGTTGCCTTTGTGCGTCTCTTAGCATTTTAACATTTATTTTGTACTTCAGAGCTCGAGCCCATATCGGAGCCCCGTACATTACGACCGAGTTTACCACATTATAATATAATAATCTAGCTTTGTATCCAGCCCCATTTATGTTTGGCATTAGAAAACTCAGATGTAGCGCGTATTTACTCGCTTTATCGGTGGCTGCTTTTATTTGTTCTTTAAATACTTGGTTACTCTCAAAAATAACTCCTAAGTATTTAGCTTTTTTGCGCGCCGGGATCTGGTTTTCGTCGATATAGACTTGAATTCCTTGTGGATGTTTTCTGCCAGTCAGCAAAAGTGACTCGGACTTGTGTGGTGCCAATTCCAAACCTTCACTCTTGTACCATTTTACCATATCCTTGATGGTTTCGTTCGCTATAAATTTCATCCTGTCAAGGTCATTATCGATCACGATTATGCCTATATCATCCGCAAAAGCCACCAGGTATACGTCTCTTCTAAGTTTAATCCTCAGCAGCCCATCGTATACCAGGTTCCACATAAAAGGGCCTATTATGGATCCTTGTGGAACTCCTCCAAAAACTTGAATTTTCTCTTTCCCATCGCCGTCTCCTATAACTAGCCAGCGATCACTTAGGTAGGATCTTATAAGTTTAATCAGATCCTGCGGAAATTTCCTCTTTTTCATCTCATTAATTACGCTGTTCCACCGTAGTGAGTTAAATGCGTTTTTCACGTCCAGCAGAATCAACAGGCAGTGTCTACCTTCTTTTTTGGCTTGGTCCCATAATTTAACTACCCTATCCATGGCATGAATTGTACTTAGTCCTTTCCTGAACCCGAATTGCTGTGGTGAAAGATTTTCTTTTCTAATTGCTTTTAATAGTTTAATCTTTATAATTTGCTCGAAAATTTTTGTTATGTTTGACGCGATGCATAGCGGTCTAAAATCCGATGGAATAAGCTCGGTGATTTTATCTTTTGTTTTATTTGCAGGTTTTCCTTTAGGGAGGAGAACTAACCTGGTCGTCTTCCATTCGACAGGCCAGTAGCCCAACCTCAGGCACGCATTTAACAGGTCCCTCCAGAAGGTAATCGCACCCAACCCTATTTTTTTGGCAACTGCTGCCGGGATCCCGTCTGGCCCCGGAGCTTTGTTTGTAGCTATTTTTTTACACGCGGCGACTACTTCTTCTTCCGTAATGTCGTCTTCGTTTTCGTTTCCGCTTTCAACATCTACCACCCCATCATTATTTTGTGTACTTACCCGTGTTTCAATTTCAGGTGTCACCCCGGGTTTCGTTTCCTGATTTATGGGTTTTAGGATAAACAACCCTTCAATAACCCTGTTAATCTGGCAGTTGTCCAGTTTAATCGGTGGAACACTGGGCTTAATTTGTTTAATTATCATTTTGTAAGGCTTCCCCCCACATATCATTGTCGATGGTCTTAATAAGTTTTTCTACGGTTTCTTTTCTTGAGTTTCTAATTTTCTTATTTAGTTCCTTCTTGGCTAATTTGAATTCTCTTTCCGCTAATTCTGATAGTTCTTTTTCTTTTTTTCTCCTTAACCTAGTAACCTTCCTGCGAAGTTTGTTAGTAGCTTTCCTTTGTTCAGCTATTTCCGGCGTCCACCAGTGCACCGGACATCTGCCAGGTCTAAGAGGATTTCTTTTAGTACAGTTGCTACCTATTTTTTGCATATCCTCGAGTACTTTTTTAATATCGTTTACCGTCTGATTTATACTGTACCTATTATTTTCTCTGTCCCCGTATTTCTCGAGGAACTTGTTTACATACTTATTTGAATCTATAGTACTTCTGTTCATTCTTTTATTACCCCTATTTTTCGTTTTCTTGTTCTTATTTCTAATACTTTTTGTTTTATCTATTTCAGGATTTTCTAGGTTAACCTCGTGCCACAAATAGAGATGGTCGGAACCAGTGAACTCATCAAGGACTTCACTGGTTGTAACCTTGTAACACAGGTTAGTACTTGTTATCAATAGATCGATTTTAGAACCGTTTCCCTTTATACATGTGTTCCCGCCCACTGTGTAGATGGGCGACAGACTCTCGCTAAGTACATACTCTAATAATATTTTGCCTCTGGCGTTCCAGGTGTTACCACCCCAAACAGGAGACTTGCTATTGAAGTCGCCAGCCAGAAGGATACCGCTCCATTTATTGGATTTGATAACCTCGGATATTTCGTCTAGTCTCTCATCTACTGTTACAACATCTATGTTTGGCGAAATATACTCGCTAATTATCAGGAAATTATTGTAATTTATAGCCACCATGCCTACCCCTTGTCTAACTATGTTTATATTTTTCCCTTTCTGCACACCTTGATTGGTCACCCATATTGCAGCATCTCCCTTGCAGTCGTTAAACCAGTAGTTTTTATTTCTATTCTGCTCAGTTATTAATACTAAGTCTGGGTTTAATGTAAATCCTGAGCCAGTTTACATTTATTAAGGTTAATTTGAAGTAGTTTAAGACTGAATTTTGTTTATCTTAGGTGCCCCGCTTATTGCTTCCTTATATTGTTTACATCTGAGGGATCCTGCAATATGGTTTAGTTCAGCCCCTGTGATTCCCTTTTCTACGCAGAGTACACACCTTGCTCTTTCGGCTTTACAATCAGCCATTTTATGCGAATTTTCACCGCATCTTCTACATATGTCCGCGTCACCCTCGATCGTAGCACACCTCGTTGCTACGTGGCCAAACTTATGGCATTTAAAACATCTAGTTATACTGGGCAATTGTCTTACTCTACAATATACCCAGCCAATCTTAATTTTGTTTTCCCTAAGCAGGGATCCCAGTTCTCCGGGGCCTTCTATGATAGCCACTTGAGTGCCCATAAAGGAGCTCCTAATATTCTTACATTTGATATTTTTTCTATTTACTCCAGTGGTTTCCGATACGCTTTCGAGGATCTCATCTTTTACAGCACCTGGATCAATATCCAGGATTTCGAGAGTGATCTTTGGTACGAGTCTTCTTACCGTTGTCTCATCCCCCATAGCTTCTTTGACCTTCTTATGAAAATCTGTGCTATCGGTCTCATTCTCGAATTCAATTAGGATGTCTCCTGTTCTGGTGTGTCTGATTCTTTTCACACCCTCTACATTTCTTCCCATTTTTTCCTTAAGCCTTCTCGTTGCTTCTGCGTATGTTTGCTCTTTGTTTACGCTGATTGTAATGGCCTCATTTCTCTTAATTACTGGCGCATTCCTTTTTCTGTAGTTATCTGTATTTGTTATTTTAGCGTTTTTATCTGTACTTGGTGTCTCAATCTTTTCATTTGGTTTTCTTCTTCTCTTTGGACCTACCATTTCCCATTCCGACTCCGAGGAGGCTTCTTCATTTTTTCTTCCTATAATTTGGATACTCCTAATCATCGGTTTCGCTCTGATCTCTTTATTAGTAGTGCGCGTCTTTTTTGATAGCGCCTCCATTTCTGGTGGTGTCACGTTTTTCCTCTTATTTCGCATCTCCGTATATTCGTTACGTGCCTCTATGGTGTTCTGTCTGTTTTCCAATTTGTTAAGACTCTTTATTATTTGTGCAGTTTTATTTTCTTCTACCTTTTTGAGTTCTTCTTGTTGTATTCTTTCTTCCTTGTACGTATTGATCGCCTCCGTAATCAATCCTCGGGTTTTTATTAAGTTTTCTCCCATTTCCGAGCTTGTTTGTGTAACCATTGCACTACCCTCGGCAATTTTCTTCAAATAATTATTTACAAGGTCATTTGAACTCTTGACCATGCTAAGTATTTGGTCAATCGCCAAAAGGGCAGTGTTAAGGGGGTAGACACGGCACGTGACCTCTCCGATTCGGGACGTCAGTATTACAGCAGATTTTTCTGCACCGAAATGGTAATACCCATAGATGTAGGGCAGGCCGATGAAAACGAGAGGGCGCTTTTGGCTAATTCTATATTCTATTCTGAATGTAAAAGAAATAGTCAGCTGTCGCATTATACTTGACAAAATGTAAACGCAAAGTTTGGTTGATAGTGCAAATTTATTATACTTTTAATTAATGAGAATATGCTTATGCTACAAAATGTTACGTTGGAGTGAGGAATAAGTCAGAAGGAAAAATAAAAGATGGGAAATCCCAGAAAAATAAAGTTCCTTACGTTACACCTTTTTCCATAATAAAATACTAAACGGTTAGGGTTAGGGTTAGATTAGTAAATAAAAGGATTAAAACACTGCCCAGTAAATTACAAGCCTTTTTTATTAATAAAATACTACAGTAGAACATGAACTGCGTACACTTATAAGATAATTGACAGTAATTATTGAAGAAACATTATGTATACAATTCGGTTGAGACAATACCGAATATCTTCAACTATCATGCTGTACACCCTGGTTTGGTCTGTAAAAATAAATAAGTTTAATAACAATTACTTTTTCAGTTTATACTGCTTTAATGTAAAAACTGGTACCTACACTTCCTGATGAATCCACTATTACTTTCCCATTTCTGACCGATATTTCTTGCAATGGTGTAAACAGTAAATTGTCATTGAACCTACAATAAAAAGTTACAATCAGTACTAATCAATCTGCATGCAATAAACATGTAAACGTATGTGATTTACTTATCTTTCTGCTTGCATTGCAAAGACCTGGTTGCTTTCCTCCCTTTGTAGAACAGGATTTTCACCATTGATACTGATCACTGAAAATAATTTAAATAAATTCATATATGAAATTCATTATGATTGCCAATTCATCCAACTATTTCTATATCAAAAGTATAAATGTCATACTTACGCTGTCATGCATTGCACTCTTCCTGTACAAAGTAAGGCAAAGTAGCTGCCAGTATACATTATTAGGAGAGTGTGAAGAGACCCACCACCACCCCCGTCATAGACGGTCCTCTTCACTCTCCAAATACTTTCATAGTTACATTCTTTTACATACTTACATTATTTTCTACTTCTACTATTGGACAGCTCTCCATATGAGCTGAATGCACTCGTCGGTGCATTAGTCACTTTGTATTGTATTTTCTTGTTTGACAGCTCTCCATATGAGCTGAATGCACACGTCGGTGCATTAGTGACTTCGGGTTGCTATTGCTTCTTTGACAGCTCTCCATATGAGCTGAATGCACTCGTCGGTGCATTAGTCACTTTGTATTGTATTTTCTTGTTTCACAGCTCTTCGTATGAGCTGAATGCACTCGTCGGTGCATTAGTGACTTTCGATTGTAATTGCTTGTTTCACAGCCATTTATTGTGTACTTGTACATGTTCCTCCTGTTTTTATGTACGGAGGTTCTCTAATCGGCTGGTGTCGATTGAATCTACTATCTATGATTTCTGGCAACATGCAGTCCTTATAAAACTTCTTCAGTTTTTCCTCCATCTCTGTTGCCCAGAATGTATCATTTCTTGGTACTTTGACAATTTTCATTCCTTTCGGCGTCCATAAACAGAACAGAGCACATTGTCTATTCGTTATGTGCAACTGTCCTTGCACTTGATAATAGTAATGATGAATTTTGTTCATTTCATCACCCCGGAAAATACGCCGTATTGCAGGAAGTTGCTCTATTGCTTCAGCAGGCGATAAATCCTTCGCCGATTCCGGACATTTTACTTCGACGATGATATCATCGTCTACAATGCCGTCAGGGGTTGCACCTAAGTAAGGCACAACGGCATCGATGAAGAGGCCACATGGTAGAATATGAATTCCTAATTCGTCTTCTAATTGCCTCAAGGCGTTTGCCTCGTTCTCTCTTCCGTATTCGAGGGAACGTAAATTCGGTATTTGCGGATACATTATACTCTTCAAAGTATTTGCCCGCGGTGTATCTTTTCGCAATCTGCATATCTTGC